CTAATGAAATGTTCACTACTTTTTCCTCTAATAGGACATCTAAATGAATTAGTTATTTCATTTAAACATTATTGTTTGTTTGAATATGTCAATTTTCTTTGTTTCTTTGAGTGTGGTGTATGGTATGATAGAGCATGTATTATTGTTATGTCCTTAATAATAATATATTATCATATTGTTATATTGTTATTTAACCTCTTCTCAAGTTCTAACATTTTCTTCTTATAGTTAAACAAACATGTCAAGTAGGTCTAGAAAATTAGACAAGCACATGTGGACACTCGAAGAGGATGAATTGTTAATCCAATCCATTATGGTGTTACATGATAAGTGAGAACTAGTATCTGACAATGGTTTAAGGCCACGTGTCTTAAACACTTGGAAAGACATGCTTGATGGTTTGATACTTGGAAGTGGTATTTGGTTTGATGCCTGAAAGTGGTATTAAGGCCCATCCCCATATCTAGTCAAGAGTCAATAAGTTAAAAATTAACTATAGTGTGGTTTTTGACCTTCTCAATTTATTTGGTTTTAGTTGGGACCCTAAAAAGAAATGTGTGACAACTCCTAAGATTGTTTGGGATGAGTATGTGAAGGTAAATTGCTGCCATTAGTTTCCACTAATTTCGCTGTTTGTTTCTACTGTTTATTTATTTTTTTTCTTGTTTTTATTGTTGTTTCAATTTCTGATGTTAAATTGCTGCTTTTTAGATACAGTTGTTTCAATTCTGTTATTTTTTATGTTTGTTGTTGCTCTTTATTTATTTTTTCTAGTTTCTATTACTGTTAGTTTATATTTTTGCTATTAGTTTCTGCTGTTTGTTTGTTTGTTTTTTTTCTAGTTTTTATTGCTATTTGTTATAGCTGTTTCAATTTTTGTTATTTGTTTCTGCTGTTTATTTGTTTTGTTTGGTTTTTATTGCAGTTAGTTTCTGCTATTTCAATTTTTATTGTTTATTTGTTTTTTCTATTTTTTATTGCTGTTAGTTTCTGCTGTTTCAATTTTTGCTATTAAATTGTTGCTCTTGATTTGTTTTTTCTAGTTTTTATTGCTGTTAGTTACGGCTGTTTCTATTTTTGCTGTTAAATTGCTGTTGTTTCTGCTGTTTCTGCTTTTCCTGCTATTTCTTTTTTTTTCTATTGCAAGTAAATAAGAAAGCTACTAAGTAGAGAAACAAGACTTTTCCCCATTATGATGAGCTATCCAATATCTTTGGGAAGGTTAAGGCAACTGGAAAGGATGCTCAAACGTATGAAGATACCGCTGAAGAGATTCATAATCAATATGGATTTGCTTCATCCATAAAAGATACTCCTACTGAGCACATTCCAACTAATTCTCAAATGGATGGATCGCATGCGAATACTTCACCACAAGAGAACTCTCCAACTATGCTATCCCCTTCTAATGTAACTTTCGGTGCGAAAAAAAGGAAGCGAAACAGCACTAAAGCTGAACCTTCCATGCTTGAAGGCATGAAAATGATTGTTCAAACACTAGCTGATGGGTTGAAGGAGTCATCTGAGCATTTTGGCATGCACCTTGATAGAGTTGAATGTGAGAAACATATTGATGGCATGAGGTCATCTCTCCTTATTGAGTTGAAGAAGGCTGAAGGACTTTCCCACCAAGAACGTCTCAAGGCATATGTGAAGATTATTGGTGATGAGAATATGCTGATTGGCTTTTATTCCATGCTTGAAGAGGACAAAGCTAATGTGATTCATGAAATAATAGCATAAGCTAGTATTGATGTCACTTGATTTTTTGGTGTATCTTGATTTTTTGGTGATCCTTAGTAAAGTTGCAAGAGGATCCTTCATATATAATGTCATGTTTGGATGTCTAATTTTTTGTGTAAGATATGACATATCTTACTTGGGTGCTTGGATATATGAGTAGCACCATTAACTATATTTTGTTTTAAAGTAAGATATGGAGTATCTTGCTTCCTTGACCTTATTAATTATGATATGATAAATGACATCCCTTCTTTCATGTTTTATAAAGCATATCTTGGAATTTTATATGATAGTAGTATATATACAAGTATGTGTTTGTGTAGATTGAGTCATGTTTCATGAATTATAAATTTAAAACCTTTAAAGATAAGCATGTCTTGGTATTATCATGTGTCCTTGCCCCTATGCTTAATTTGCTCATGAAGTTGCAACTTGGTTCGTTAGTTTAGCAAGTAATTTTTATTATCCTCTTCCTCTCATTTCCCATTTCAAAGACCACGTTTAGACTATTGTGGATGTTTGGAAAGTGGGACTCAGAGTTTCAATGGATGAGAAAGGAATTCTCAGATGAGAAGTGTTGAAACATTGTGTCAAGGAAGTAATAGAAAGTGAAAAAGGAAAAGAAATGAAGGAAAATGCCATCAAATGGAAGAATTTGATCAGGAATTCTGTCAATAAGGGGGGAAGTTCTGATCAAAATATTACAGAATTTATGGCTAAGATTTCTCAGCACTAGTGAGCTTCATGATCTTTAGCTATATAGTCGAGTTTGAATTAAAAGATTTGAAACTCATGTAGCTCACATACACACTTTTTATATCAACATATCAAATGTGTTGTGCCTGTTAAAAGTTAATTCAAAATTATATGTCCTCGTTGTTTCAGAAAGATTAGAACAGCAAGCTTTATATTATTCTTTCTTATTGATAGCACTTTCTCATGCTTTTGTTAATAAAATAGGAAAATATATTTAATTTCATATATATACAAGTAAAGTCTTCAAATGATGTCACTTCTAAAAAGAATAATAGTATCTTTTATGGACCCAACTTTGTGAAAAAGCACAGAGCACTTATTTTCGTCCAGTAGGAAGAGAAAGAACTTTTTGTTCTATTGCTACATGTTCTTCTCATTTGTGTTCGTTGATGACGAGTCAAGATTCAGGGCCTATTTTAACCAAAGGAAGAGAAGCTATTCGTTGGCTTGATGTTTCCACCTTTATATGAAGAATATAGGCAAAAAATCAAAGTTAAAAACTTCTAATCTAAAATAAATTAGAAAATGACAATAAAGTCTCCTAAGAGGAAACTAATAACAGTTAGAACTTGATGAAATTTACTTCAATTTAGTAGAGGGAGCATTTAAATAAGGTACAAACTTCATACCAAAATTTACCAAAACTTATGATACAACACTTGCAGATTCCACAGAATCAGAGATATAACCACAAGATTGGAGCCATATAGCTACAGACTTCATAATCTAAATACTATATTATATATATATATACACACACACATACAGCTCATTTTATTTATATGAGATCAAGTCAATAAACAATACAACAACTTCATGTATTTTTACAGGAACTTTCTATGGAAGTCCTTCCTTGATTGGGTGTCTTGGTTTCTCCTCATGTTGGTTTCAATTCAAATTTCACACCTTCTTTTTACGTTAAAAGATGTTGTTGTTGGGTTATTTAGCAATAGGTTTCCACGCAGAAGCTCTACCTCCTTTACTTTCAACTCTTCCTCTCTTTGTTGTCATTTCTACACAAGAACAATATACATTGTATAACCCCAAGCCACTTGTCCAATGTATAGTTTTTCGTCCTTATACTGAAAAAATAATGAAAACATTCACCACCTGAACAGTGAAATGAAATTCATGATGACGAGCCCCAATATAATCTACAACCTCTCTCGCAGCTTTCAAATCTGGTGAACCCTAAATATTAGTTAAGTTAAAACTTCAAGCATATGAGTTGTCAGAAAACATTATCAACATACCACTCTGTTTCAACAAACATGAGTAAAGTATTCAAACATCTAAACCAATAGAAAAGGTATGTAATTGTGATCCCCACTGACGAGCAGCTTTAGATTCAACCAAATGATGGTTGGCAACAGCAGCAAAAGGAATTTTCAACCAAGAAAAAAAGTCATTAAACATGTACCAGCAAAAGGAATAAGAAAAGACTATTCTCCTTCACAAAGCCTAACAAGAATCAGTATGAGCTTTTCTTTCAATAGCTTTTAAGCTTTGGCATGCTAGGAATAAAGCTACATAAGGGAATTCTTTTGGCTCCAAACCTAATCTCTCAGAGGATAAAAGAATAAAATACAATACAAATTAATTAAATGTTACCAAGAGGCAGCATTCCCTAGCACCGAAATAATGTATAGCTCTGAATAGTTCTTGATTTTGTGAAGTGATTTCTATTTACATAAATAGGAAGACTTTTTTTTATAAAATAAGTGATAAATGACAAGTATGCATCATCCTTACTAAGCCTATCGATAGCAGTCAAAATTTCACCATGCTCCAATACATTTTTAATGCCATCGCAATAGGTAAGGATAATCGAGAAAGTGCAAGGTAGAAATATTTTTTTGAGCATTTCAAATACGAATAAATATAGAGAGATTCTTGGTTGAAATTCAACAGAAAAAGACATTTCTAATGATCAATACTCTTGATAGTACTAAAAATTGCACCTGATTATGAATAAAGACCTACTGAGATCTTAAAGTACACAACCAATAAGGGAAAGCAAAGTAAATCAAAGGCTTTGTTCGAAAGGTTCAAAGCATACCTAACACGCTCTCCTTAGCTCTTCATTTTCATCTTGGAGGCGCTTAAGAGTTGATAGAGCTAAGAGAAATTAGAACGGCACGAATGAAACCCTTCACAATATGGAGCTTGACGATTGGAAATGGAAGTCGGTGATCTCTTGAGTTCAGTATCACAGAAGTTCATTGGCGAGAAGAAAAAATGACAAGATGAAAGAGTGATCATGTTTTTATTGGGTTTTTCTTTTATATTTTTATTATTTTAAAAGGTATTTTTATCTTTTTATAATTTATATTTAATTAAAAAATAAAATGAGATAAGGCATTCTCTAATAATATTCTTACATATCAAATATAATTTTAAAACTTTATTTTTAATTTTAATTTTAATTTTAATCTTAATCTTAATTCATTAAAATTGAGACTTGCATATCAAACATTGCCTCAAATTTACATGAAAGAAAGATATCATCAGGACAAAAAGGAAAGGAAGATTTTAATATCCTCGTCCACAGTACTTCCTTCTCCAAACCTTGTCGCCTGAAAGAATTCTTCCGGAATCCAATAATACCAACGGGAATTCTTGAAAGTCTCCAATCCTCAGAAAAATTTCGGATCCAGCAAAGCACAGATCTCAGAGCACCATTGAGGCTGAAATATTTTGAAGATCTGCCTCTCTGTTGCAAGATTTGTATTTCTTCTCCAAAAAGCCTGGTAAGCATCAACCGTTCCTTGGTAGCTTTATTTCTGATTTTTTTTTTGTACCATACGGTTCATCCTTGCTTGATTAAATTTAAGAGAAAATTTTCATTGTTGCTGGGCGTCTGAGTAGCAGTTCCGGAATCCAATAATACCAACGGGAATTCATGAAAGTCTCCAATCCTCAGAAAAATTTCGGATCCAGCAAAGCACAGATCTCAGAGCACCGTTGAGGCTGAAATATTTTGAAGATCTGCCTCTCTGTCGAAAGATTTGTATTTCTTCTCCAAAAAGCCTGGTAAGCATCACCCGTTCCTTGGTAGCTTTATTTCTGAATTTTTTTTTGTACCATACGGTTCATCCTTGCTTGATTAAATTTAAGAGAAAATTTTCATTGTTGCTGGGCGTCTGAGTTGCAGTTCCGGAATCCAATAATACCAACGGGAATTCTTGAAAGTCTCCAATCCTCAGAAAAATTTCGGATCCAGCAAAGCACAGATCTCAGAGCACCGTTGAGGCTGAAATATTTTGAAGATCTGCCTCTCTGTCGAAAGATTTGTATTTCTTCTCCAAAAAGCCTGGTAAGCATCACCCGTTCCTTGGTAGCTTTATTTCTGAATTTTTTTTTGTACCATACGGTTCATCCTTGCTTGATTAAATTTAAGAGAAAATTTTCATTGTTGCTGGGCGTCTGAGTTGCAGTTCCGGAATCCAATAATACCAATGGGAATTCTTGAAAGTCTCCAATCCACAGAAAAATTTCGGATCCAGCAAAGCACAGATCTCAGAGCACCGTTGAGGCTGAAATATTTTGAAGATCTGCCTCTCTGTTGAAAGATTTGTATTTCTTCTCCAAAAAGCCTGGTAAGCATCACCCATTCCTTGGTAGCTTTATTTCTGATTTTTTTTTTTTGGTCCCATACGGTTCATCCTTGCTTGATTAAATTTAAGAGAAAATTTTCATTGTTGTTGGGCGTCTGAGTTGCAGTCATTGGTTTGCTGTTTGATATTGGACATGTCCCAAAAATTCCGCTATGAAGGCAGCAGGATTTATATTTGTCTGTTGATGCAGCCATGCAGGCTCAATTTTGTTTCTACCAGATGAAGCACGGTAACATGATGAAATAAAAATAGTTGTCTTTCATCGCAAAAGCATCAGCCTGGAAACTACGGCAACCAGATTCCCATAACTGGCATTGACCGGGTTTTTTTTTTTTTTTTTTTGGCCAGAATGACCATTGACTTGGTTGACGAAAAGCTGTATATAATAAATCTATTGGCAGAAAAGACAAACAGCTTTATAAAAGAATCTGAAATATTTTTGGGAGAGAAGAAGAAGAAGATGGAGATAACAAGGATTTTGCCGAAGGAGTGCATCTGCAAACTAATCTCACTCACAACTCCAAAGGACGCCTGCCGATCATCCGTCGTTTCCTCGGCCTTCAAAGAACTTGCAGATTCTGATGACACGTGGGAAGCTTTTTTGCCGTCCGATTGGCAAGACTTGATCGCACAGTCCTCTTCTCCCAACTTGATTTCTATGCCCAAGAGACAACTCTACCTGCATCTTTCTGATCATCCCCTTCTCCTAGCGAATCAAACCATGGTAAATTTACTCTGACTCGGTCTATTTTGTTTTTATGTTTTTAATAATCTCCTATACAGAAAATTTTTGTTTTATTTTAGTTTTAGATATTTTAAGACATTATTAATTTTGACATTTATATGATGCTAACTAAGTACTCCTCGGTCAAATATAAGCATTTTCTCCAGTTTATCTTGTCCAAAATGTAAGTAATTTAGTACTTGAATACAAAATTCTCACTTTCACCAGCCGTATTGGCTGCAGCAGAAGCCGTTGGGGCATAGGGCTCCGCACTGTTCGGCGGAGACTCTTAGTATCTCTAAGGCTTGCATATTTCTGGCTACCTTCATCCTTGCTTTTGTTATAACGCAGAAGTGATGTGATATTATGAGCCAATTGTCACATTGCCTGAATTTTAAGAGATTAAGAGAGAATTACATGACATTTAAGAAGAATTTAAAATGTTTCGAAATATTTTAGAAGCATATGAAACAATCTAGAAATATATAGAACAATTTGAAAAGATCTAGAAGATTTTAGGAACATATAGGAGGATGTAAAGATATCTAGAATATTTTGAAATATCTTTTGACATTCTAAAATGTTCTAGATATATTTTATCTAGAATATTTTGGGATATCCTTTGACATTCTAAAATGTTCTAGATATCTAGAAAAGTTTATAGTCTCTAGATATTTATGTAGAGAATTTTAGAGAAATAGTAACAACCGTAGGATTAAATTAATTTTCACCATGCATGAAAGATGTGAGAACATTTTAGATAAAAAGGGAGGTCTATAAATACCTTCAGGCTCTTAACTTACTCATTTGTAACCATCCTTAAATTTCAAAAGCAATACAAGTTTCGCATTCCCATAACTCTCTCAATTATTCTTTAATTTCAAGATTTTTATTCCTTAATTTAGTCAAGCACCCTCCTTCTCAACAAATCAGACTTACTTTCTATCTTCCACTAAAAAAGATCCGAGTGTCGCGTGGGTCAAAAGACTGGTCCCGTGACACAATGCAGTGCTTTATATATATGGATAGTGTATATGGCTATTTGCTTTATAATTTTTAAAAAAAAATCTCACTTTAGTTTTTATATTTATTAACCTAAATTTTTGTAATTAAAAATTGAAATTATGAGTAAAAAAATAATATATATATATGTTATGAAAATAAAGATTTTATTGATATACAAATTATTATTAAAAACCATTTATATTTTGAATAGGAAAGATGATATGTTTTTGAACCAGGTAGGTAAATTCAAACCCTTTTGATTTAATTTTAATTTTTATATTATCTTATGCTTCTCTATTTTTCTACTGTCTAATGAAATCACCGTAGTGAAAAGTATAATTGATGGTGTTGAAGTGAATGGAACAGAGTTTCTCCTTGGCAAAGGAAAGTGGGAAGAAGTGTTATATGATAGGTGCACGAGGCCTGGGCATTGCTTGGGGGGACACACCTCCTTACTGGAATTGGGTTTCTCCTCGACAGTCTCGGTATGCTTCAATTTTTGCCCTTATATCTATCTATATATATAAATAATATCTCTTTCTTCTTGATTATTAGTATGAATCTGATGATCCGGCACTCCGGCGTATACTTTAGTTAGAAAATGATTATTACAGTTGCTGACCTCTCTTAGAAAATTTATAGGAATATTTTATAAGAAGAGAAAAGAATTTTAACAAGAAAAAATGAAATATAGATATGTAGAGCTATAAACAAGTAAATCAAGGCAATGAGCAACAGTGTAAAGAGTGATGAACAGTATATACTAGGAACACAAATAAGTTGTGCTAACATCAAAGCAATATTTGAAATTACTTCAAGTAAAAGTATTATAATATACAAGTGAAGTAGAGCAATGAATAACAGTTTGAAGGATAATGAACCACGTACAATAAGAAAATGAATAAGTCATGTTAACATGAAAACAAAATTTAGAATTAATTCAAGTAAAAGTATTGTAATGAATAAGTGAAGCATAAAACAATTACAACAGTCTCAAAGATAATGAACCACATATCATAGGAACACAAACAAGTCATGCTAACATAAAAGTAAACATTTGGAATTAATTCAGGTGAAAGTATTGTAATGAACAAGTTAAGTAATAAGTAGGGCAATGAACAATAGTTTAAAGGGTAATTAAATGCATACAGTATAAATATGAACAAGTCATGTTGACATGAAAGCAAGACTTGAAATTAATTCAAGTGAAAATGTTATAATGAGCAAGTGAAGTAGGATAATAAACACTGTATAGAGGATAATGAACAACATGTAGAAGGGACAAGTCTTGCTAGAGAATTTTATTAGGGATAATTTTGTTATTTCCATGTAATTTTAATTTTAATTTAATATCTTAAACTTGCAGTGAAGTTTCAGAAATTCAAGAGTTCTCTTTTTTATTATCTTTAGTTGAGGAGTTTGCAGTAAAATTTTCCCTTTTTTATAATTAGACGGACTTGTGGTAGGAAGATTTCATAATTAGTTATTAGTGTAATTATAGGATTATCTATGGAGTCATTGTCAAGTGACTCTTGTGGGGCTCTTAATCTATGTGAATATAGGTGTATTCACGTACACGAATAAAAAGAAAATCAAAGCAATTCAGCTCTCTTGGCATGTATAAACTATAAACACCGAATCAAATATCTTTTAGAATTTTTTTTGTCATTTACTGAAATAATATATAGTCATCACTTTGTTTTATGAACATATACAGTCATTGCTTTAATTAACTAGTCATTGAGTTGCAAGGACGCATTAACTTGAAAATTATCTTTAGTTATAATTAACTACTATAAAAGACCATCATCGTTAACCATTGTTGACTATAGTTGTTGGCTGCTTTTTTAACTCAAAATTGTTTTCAAATTAACATAATCAAACAAATATTCATTTTGTGTTGTCTTAAAAAAAATTAAAAAAATTGATTTACAAAATGGTTTTTGAAAACAAAAAATGAAAACAAAACCAAATGAGCCCTAAGTCACTAATTAAGTCTGTTTTGGGCTAATGTTCAAAAACATCCAAAAATATTTTTTTTAAGGAATTTCTAGTATTCTGAAGTCATCAATGGTATCCATTAACCTTATAAAAGAAATCACCATTTCTCAAACCATTAGAATAGTTTGATTTAACAGATTGAGAAAGATTAATATCTTTTATAAAGTTTATAGATATCCATGTATCATTGATAACTTGATTATTCCAGAAACCTCTAGATAAGAAGTTTCTGAGTATTTTTGCATGTTAACTTTTTTCTTTGGTCATTTGTTGAAATAAAATAATCATTGCTTTAACTTAACTAATCATGTACCCCCCCTCCCAATCACTCTCCTGTCGCTAGAGTTTTGGCCGGCAGCTTTTTTGGTTGCATACAAATATCTTTACACATCTGCATACATACACTTGCAGATTCCCTCAAGTAGCGGAGCTCCAGTATGTGTGGTGGTTTGATGTGAGGGGAGCCCTAAACACTGTGCTTTTGTCCCCGAAAACAACGTATGAAGTGTTGTTCATCTTCAGGTTTGGAAGGAGACGATCGGGATTCACAAACAAGCAAGTGAATTACAGTCTCGCTACTCAAGGAGGTATGAACACTATTGGACAAGTGGTGCTCGACCCTCCAGAAATTGGCGTTAAACATAGAGATGATGGATGGATGGAATTCAAGGTTGGGGAATTTTTCACTGAAGATCATGAACAAGATGATGATGATGATGGCTCTCTGTCCTTCAGGGTGTGGGAGACTGATAATTATTACACTAAAAATGGCATTTTTGTTGAAGGAGTTGAGTTTAGGCCTAGAAGCACTAATACATGATATGATTTCTCAGTGTGTTGGACTGGAATTTTGTATTTGGGGTGTGGTGTGGACTAGTTAATTACATTAAAATTAAGTTACTTTGTCAATTTATGAGAAATATTTATTTATTTACTTATGAATTTAAGATTATACATTGTCACGTGCTCCTACTCAAACCTTAATGTATGTATATATATATATATTTTTTCTAATCAATAGCTAGGGTCGTAGGCTATACAAAAGTTGATGTCCAACCAAAGGCTGCAGTGCTCCTATTCATAGCCCGATCTTCCTCTTTGTGACTGAAAGGGGTGCCATGTTCGTTGTCACCTTGTTCTGGCCAAGTCAAAGGATCAAGGTAGCTTTAGTATAACAGTGCCGCCCAATAAGCTCCATCTTAGAGGCAGAAAAGTGATTACTGCCTGCCCCAATTTCCTACAACTCTTTTCGAAATGGCTAACCTCCTCATGATATATGTCAAATTTATTTTAGAGTATAGAATATAGTAGCTATTAATTTTATTTTTATATAAATACTAAAATAAAAAGAATACATATTTTTCTTTAAGACTGTAAGATAAAATATTAAACTAACTTTTAATTGACTTGTCAATACAGTTAAGAAGATAATTAGATAAATAAAAGTAAATTTCACAAGAACAGAACCAAGAGATAATTTTTTGTATAAAATTAAGGAATGAATTTGTAATTAAATTTGATCAAGGAATAAAAATATAAAATGAAAAATAAATTTAGGAGATTAATTGTCCATATTTTGAAATTCATTAGTTTTATATATAAATTGAGAGATAATATTTCAAGTTAATTGTAGAAAAAAAAAGTTTCAAAATAACCATACTATTTTTAAAGTAATGTTTGGCACATAATTTTTTTTACATAGAAATTGAGAAATATGTTAAGAAAATGATATATATATATATATATATATATAGCACTTTTATACTTGTAATATTGTATGACCATATAATTTTTTTAAATGTGCTTGTATTTTTGATAGATAACATTTCTATTGAATGCCTTTTCTTTTGAACTTGGAATATAAGATTGGTTTGTTTAAAATTTAAAAATAAATCATTTTTAGATAATTTAAATATTTTATGAAAAGAGATTTGATTTTATAAATGTAAAAATTATTTTATGTTTAGTTAAAATTATAAAAAAATTACTATTAGTTAATTATTTTTAATTTTTTTTTAAAAATTATTTAATTATTTTAAAATTTTTTGATAACTTCGCGTATCTTGCTTTTTTTTTTAATACATTTTTCCTTATTTACATTATCATATTATTATTAGCAGCTACTTAAAATACTTTCTTAAAATAATTAAAAATATACTTTTTTTCATATTTTAATTATTTTTAAAATTTTAAATAAATATTTTTAAAACTTATAGTGTAACCTTTTTTGAAGAATAAGTACTTTTTTTTTATAAAATAAACTGAAACAAGTATCTGTGATAAATCATGCAACCAATATTACAAAAAGATCTAATTTATGTTTGTGAGAAATATCTGGTTCAGCCCATTGTCGGAGCCCATTTGGTTGTCCAGTGCAGTGCATATTGAGCGATCTCATTTATCCTGTTATGAGGGAAGAGAGAGAAGAAGAAGAGGATGGAGATAACGGGGGTTTAGCTGAGGGATTGCATTTGCTAAATCATTTCATTCACAACGGCCAAGAATGCTTGTCGATCATTCGCCGTTTGTTCGGCCTTCAAGGAATCTGCAGATTCCGATGAGACGTGGGAAGCTTTTCTGCCGTCCGATTGCCGAGACTTGGTCTCCCAATCATCTTCTCCGAACTTGATATCTCTTCCGAACAAACAACTCTGCCTTCACGTCTCTGATCACCCCCTTCTTGTGGCCGATAAAACTAAGGTAAAGGTCAATTCCCACTTTAACTTTCTGTTTTCGTCTTGCTTGATCGGAACTTTCTTGTTATCCAAACTGCATTTTCGCTCCTCTACTTCTTGGGATTCTATTTCATTTGAAATCACTTTTATGCAAAATAGTGCTATTGGTTGATGATTGATGTGGATAGAACAGAGTTTTTCCCTGACAAAAGAGAGTGGCAAGAAGTTTTACATGATAGGGGCAAAGGGGCTTTGCATTATCTGGGGAGATACGCCTTGCTACTGAAATTGGATTTCAATTCCAGAATCCAGGTTTTCTTTATTCTTTGTTGTTTTACATTTATAGCACTTCAGATTTCAATTTGTGTTATAGCGTGCCTGTATTGATAGTCTAACTTATGTTATAGTAGTTGAGGGCCTGGTGTTTGGTGACATGTACATATATCTTTGACATATTTTACAGATTTTCCCAAGTAGCAGAGCTCAACCATGTATGGTGGTTTGAAGTGAAGGGCAACTTAAAGATTAGGCTTCTGTCCCCAAAAACATCATATGATGTGTTCTTCATCTTCAAGTTTGGAAGCGACAGATTCGGATTCACAGATGCACCGGAAAGTTTCAGTCTCACTAAAGGAGGTCAGTGTAGGTCTCTGGGAGTGGTTCTGGACTTTTTGATGTTACGCAGAGAGAAGATGGATGTATGGAAATTAAGGTGGGGAATTTTTCACTGAAGAAGAAGATAGTGATGATGATGGCTTCGTGGAGTTTAGAGCATGGCAGACTGAAGCTTATATTAAAGAAGGCATTTTAGTTGAAGGAATTGAGTTCAGGCCTACAAAGAATGACTAGAAGACGAAAGTTGTATGCATATTTCAGCATGGGATAAACCTTACGCCTTGCTTGGTTTGTGGAGTGATTTTCATGGAATTTTGAATGATGTTAAGAATGAGAATGAGAATGGAATGTAATGGAACGAGATAGTTATGTTTACTAATGCCATGGAAAGGAATGAAAAGTTTAGGAAAAATTTTATGCTTCGAGTCCATTTTCTAAGGCACCAAAATTACCATAAAAAGCTTTGCATTGTTTATTCATTTTGCTGTTTTTCATATTGAGATTGTTACCACCTCTCGGGGGGACCGCAAGCATGTGAGGCCTGTAAGCCTCTTCCCAATCGGGGTTTTTAATCTGCAAACTTGGAGGACATAAGACATACGCTGCGTGATTTTATCCAACCAGGTCTGTGGAGCAAGTTTAAAAGGCCAAGTGGTATGGAATGGCTGGTCTGGAATCTGGAAAACCTGGCAGGCTGAGATTTTACTAAGAAAATACCGTGGGATACAGTGTTTGGATATTTTTGTTGGGACATCTGGACTAGTAGATGTGAGAGAATCTTTGAACTTGAGGAGCATATGGAACCTACACATTGCCTGAATAGCTTTTACAAAGCTTGTGCTGATTTCCAGTTCTTCCACGCACAATCTTTAGATCCATGTGTCAACGAAGCTAGAACCCGATGATCCGATCCTAGAGAGGGTTATGTCAGGTTAGACATTGATAGTTCTGTAGTTGTAGGGGAGTTATTTGCGACTCCAATGCTGACTGGTTGTGGCGTTTTGCTTGTAAAATTGACTCTTTTCCTTCTGCAATAGCAGTTGTGGGGATCAACGAGGCATTTAACCTTTGCTGGCAAGGAGGGCTAAAGCTGTGAGTATGATTAACGGTGGAATTTGTATAAACCCCCCCTTTAGCGACATTGTTGAAATTGCTAGGCTTTTCTTTAGAAGAGATTGGGACATCTCCATCTCTTTTGTTTATCGAGAAGCCAATCAGTTATCTCATGTCATTGAATGTATCTTTTGTACGGAGTTTATGGATGACGAAAAGATGAAGCTTTGCTGTGATGAACTTTTGTAATTGCTGTAAGTTTCTGTTAATATGGTGTTTCAGCTTTCATCCCGGGGGAAAAAAAAAAAAAAAAGATCTGCACACACATTAGAATTCAATGATCCCCACCAACTGCGTTTGCCACCAACGTTTGGTGATTTGTCCGATCTTGTAAGTCCATTTGACCTATTTGGTTAGGATTGTTGCTAGAAAGCCCTTTTACTTCACTTGAGAATTAGTAACGACAGTGGTTTAAGCCTTCAATTGGAAACTGTGATAGGTCATGAATGAGAATGTTGGTCATTACAGTGTGTGTGTGGGGCATTGGTTAAGTTAACACAGTAACAAATAGCTTTTCAGATCAAGTTTTGGGGGGGAAAAAGGTGCTTGAATCATTATTTTAAAAAATATATCTAAATTGATTAAATAAAGGTGAAATAACAATTTCTTTTATTAACATAATTGTCATTAATGAAAATATAAAATTTTATGCCTTTTTTCTAGTTTTGCAGAGCAAAAATAACAAAAAATTTAAAATATATTATGGTTTTTTAGTTCTTCAGAGTAGCTTTTTAACTTTTTTATTTTCCAAAATAGTAAGATAATAGAAAACATATTTTCAAACAAGCTTTTTCATTTTTTCGTTTTTCAAAACAAAAAACTACTATGAAAACATGTTATCGGATGGGCCACTTGAGAAAACAATATTCCAAGGGACTTTATTAACATGATAATTTCCAGCCAACAATCTTGGATTAACCAAACAATAAACAAAGATTCACAAACAACAAAAATGGCTTCCACTTGAGAAAACCTAGCATAATTGATACTTAAATATAATAAAACTTTTAAAGATGCTGGTAGCCATAGTGGCATACTTATTTGTATTATTGATCCACATCCTCTAAATTTATCATTTGCTCATCCATGATATCCTTCCTTATACTTGAGGAGTAAATATACCACCAAATGGATAAAAATAGTGTCAAATGACTTAATAATGTGATTGTTATACATAAAATAATTGATGAAGCTAAGACACACATTATGCATGGTTCACAAGTAACATAAAAGGCTGCGGCTTGAGAGTTTTGTATGCATGCCTTGTGGCCTGTGAAGACAGAATTAATGAAATGAAAAAGATGGGAGTGAAAACCAGTGGAAAATAAAGTACTTAAATATAAACCTGTTGCTCAAACATCACAAGGTTGAGAAGCAAAACTAAACTTCTCCTAATCAGTGTCCTCACAAACAACCACTTCCTCATGGCCATTTGCTGTTTTAAGCGAAATCATCATTTCCACTCTACAAATATCCAGAAAGGCAAAAAGCTAGCAGTGGCACCACCAAGTTTATGTTTCAGAATAAACATTGATGAAAACCAAGTGGCTCTGGAATAGAATCACAAGAATATGTCTAATAAAACAAGCTAGGATTTCCAATATAAGCACCTCAGTCTACTAAGATGAAACTATCACCATCTAAGTGATGCTATAAAAAGGTTGCTTCCACTTTATGTCTAACTAGAACACAATATAAAGCTGAAAGACTGTCTTCTTAGACCGGCCGAAAATATTATTCATAATCACTGCCTACATCTATGGCTCTTAACGCTAGAGTATATTGCATATAATTATTTGTGGAACAATAAAAGATTTGGACTAACCAAAAATACCTGATTTAAAGTACCAAGAATCTTCTAAGGGAGAATAAGATTCAAAGCTAATCCGAGTAGCACCATAGTGATGCTTGAATCAATTTTTACTCTAAAAACAGCGGTAGTCTCCAAGGACAGTTCAACCAAATGTGAAAAGCAATTATTTTCTATGATGCTCTGATTTTAGAATAGAAAATTAAAAGTTAAATTTATGCAAGGCTTTGAGCATCCAAGAGCACTCATACTAATTATGTAACTAGTTCCTCATTTTTTTGCTGATTTAACTTTATCTAAGGTCAGTAGTTCTGTACGAAAGATTGAATAACTTTTTTTTCTTAAAAAAAAAAAATTAGTAGAATCAAAAGAGAAACCTACATACATATTGTCCCTTACTCATTTATAAGGGCTTTCTTAACGTGCCTAGAATGATGAAATATCTAGTATAGAAACTGAAAGAAAGGAAATTCTCTGAAAGAACTTGTTATTAAGTAATTCTCTTGTGTTCCCAAGTGTAAGGAAACAAGCCTATTTATACTGAACAATCTGAAACTAAAAGGGGCAGAGGTTACATGCATGATAAATGGGTTTATATTCATTATTGGCACTGAACGTAAAACAGACATCAATGGAACGGATGTGGTTAATATGGCATTATGGATGGGGTTATGGAGATGGGGTTATAATGGCTAGCTAACGCACAGTTTTTATAGTCTGATTTTTAGGTCATAGGTCAAACCCAATCCCTTTGTCTATCGGAAGCGAGAAAACGAGCTGCAAACTAGAAAAGCCCTGAACCTAGCAATCTTCACTCCTATCCTTTCTAAATTTTTATTGAATCAGGTCTATTAATCATATCGTTAATCTGTTCCTTCCTTTTCCTCATTATATTTCTGTTATATGTTTTCAATGGCAGCATGTTTATTAATATATAGTGCTTTTTCTTTCTTCCTCCTTTTGTTTTTTTGTAAATCTTTTTACGTCATTGAACAGTGCATGCATGGACTTATTGCATTACATAATAAGGTAATTGTTTGTTGGGTGTAACATCTTAAATATTTTTTTTAAAACAATTTAATTCAATCATGATAAAAAAGTGTTTATCATGATAAATAGAAGTCAACTTATCCTATATTTTTTTTTGAAACAATTCTATAATTTAAAACACTACTATGATAAGAAACGATAAAACAAAGCGTTATAAAATATTTCATCTTTTAAATTAATTACCATGGTAGAAACGATTAAATCTCTTTTCAAATAATATAAAATAATTTTATATAACTAATACACATTTACAACTATAGTTGGGTTACAACCACCCAACACATTTTATATCAATAAATTTAATATAAAAATATTTTATAATTGGCTTAAGCTTGCACAATATAATATCTCAGATAAATTTTTACCTCCTACATGCCATTAGGTTAAAACCACATTTTTTTTTCATCCTTATACTTCCAACAAGTGCAAACCATAGACTAACAACTAAAATAAACAACTTAATTAATTTTCAAAATAAGCTAATTATTCAGCCTCATAATCATGCCATTTCAAACAATTCAAAATAAATTAGATATCAAAGTTACAGTTATCTAAAATATACCAAAAGTAGAAATAGTTTAAAGGGAATGATTACATCATTATATTCATATAATTGTCAATAAACAAAAAGTCCTAGTATTGGCAATATAACATATTAAAAATCATAAATCACATATCCAAAAGAGATAGTAGATCTATGCCACTAAGCCTTAGGGACTCCTCCACGTGCCACTTATGGCTCTTCTCTTGAAAATTGTTTACCACATAATGAGACTCAAAAGTCCCAGTAACCAATGCCAATTTATAATAGTGTATACAAATAGTTAAATGTGTGCTTGCTAAGGGAAACAACAGTCATATAATTCCAACAAAAATACAAGAAATATTACACTGCATAACAAACAACCATCCTTATCTCCCTCCATTAACCTCGAGCTGTAGCCCTTACTCAGTGCTAAATTACCCTGCCAAAAGTAGATTAGCCTGAGCCTTTATAAGCCACCTATTAGGCTCCAATAGGGGCGTATCACATGGCATATAAATACAACAACAACAAGTTTTACAATAATCAAACAAATTCATAACAATATTGTGCAATTATACAATATTACAATCTTTACAATTTTCTCATTTTCAATAATGTTACAGTATTACATCCCACTTGGCAAAAATACTTCAAAATGTATATCCACAATTTCACAATTTTTTCATAAACATAACAAGGTAATTTCTCAACAACAATTCATAATTCTCTCAATAATCATCCAATTAACATGAAGCAATACTAATCACAAATTAAAAGCATGATTATCTCGTAGTTTTTTCAATAAATTATTCCTCATAATTTCTCCCCCACCATAATCTTCACCAATAACACAATCTATAAATAAAATATTATTTATAAATATTAGTTTCAATTATTGAAACTAATAAAATAACTCTAATAATAGAATTAGAGAATATAACATAATTTCTACTCTCAATCTTAGTACAAATCTAGAGTTAGTACTATTAAATAAAATTTTTAACTCCTCTTTTAGTCATCAATAAACATTAATAAGCTAAAATCAACCTCTAAACCAATTTCTATTGTCAAAATTTTTCTTTTTATTTCAAAAATTCGCACCTAAAATACCCAAAAATTAAAAATTGAGTCTCAAGCTTAGAATCATCATCCCATAGCTATAATAATCCACTTTTGATCCCAAATAATCATCTAAACCTCAATAAATCAACATATATTTTTGAATTTAATAAAAATCTAGTCTAGGGTTTGATCCATAAGCTTCAAATTCAATGATCACCAATAAATTTATATTCTAGAACATTTATTACACCATCAACAACCACATTTATACTCTAACAACCTCAACAACCACATTCATTCAATAAAAATTCATCCCTCTTCCAAATTTTAGATTTTCCACCATCACAAAATCAGAAACGAAAGGAGCTAGATGAATAAGAAAATTTTTTAGAACACTTATTTAATCTTAAAAATCTTGAAATCTCACCCTAAATATCCTATCAAGAACCCTAACCTTTAAAACTCAGATCCCTTCTCACCGGCGGCTCGTGTTCTTTCATCTTTGCTCGCGTAAGAAAAGGAAAAGGCTAGACGGAAGGAATGAGAAAAGGTAAGAGAGGTGGGGGATATTTAAAAAGGTGTGGGTCCCATAGCATTTTTTTTACCTTCATTTATCTTTCTTTTATATACGTGTGTGTGTGTGTGTGTGTGTGTGTGTGTGTGTGTGTGTGTGTGTGTGTGTGTGTGTCTACACTCATGCACGCAATCTACCACCCTTTTCTTTCTTT